CTAATTACTTTTTAGTTCATGAAATCACAATCTTGTTAGGACTAATATTAGCCCATATGATTTCTACTAGCGTGGCAATATAATATATTAGGCCTACTAATAATACCAATAGAATAATAATAATGAAAAGGTGTGTGCCTGACGTAAAAATGTGAATGAATGGATCGGTCGCCAGGAAAGGTGCGTCTGTAACAGCGGTGGGTGTGTGAGGGGAAAAATAATATGACAACCGTTTTCGATAGCAGATCTGATCAGTATAGCCTACCTTAGATAGTTAGAGACGGATAACTTTACTTTGAAGTACAATTATTATTGATAATAGCCTGGCTAGTCTGCCTCGCAAAGTATCAAGAGAAACATACCTGGAATATTATCCGATGGAACAAGGTCAGTTCCAGGATCGGAGATGTCCAGCCGGCTCTTTTTTCGACGGGGAATGAATTCATTATCTGAATCACTCTCAGAGCTGGATGAACTGTCCAGGGACCAAGAGACATCGCTGTCCCTATCCGTACCTGCTCCTCCATCAGAGTCCTCATCGTCGAGCCTCCGAAGCATGGCCAAAGCCTCTGTGGCTGTCATTGTTCTTCTTGATGACATTTTGTTAGCTCAAATGTATAACTTATAGGGTTGGAATAGCATAAACAAAGAAGACAAATCGTTGCTATGCAACGGGGACGCTCATTACCAATGGCGGGAAATGTAGCGGACTTAAATATGATATCTATAATGCGTGCGGTCAAAATGACCGCCATGGTCATTCTAGGTAGAAATAGTCAGAACTGTTTTGTGTTTTGTGATTTTAATAAAATAACAGTGTCAGAATAAAATATATATCCATATTTAGGAAAAGTCAGAGTCCTACAGCCACATTGATTTTAGTTTAACAAAGTTATTACACTGTAAAATTTAAAAACGGTCAAAATGACTGCCTTGGTAGTTCTAGTGTTAAAGGGTGTGTCCGTGGCGTGGCATCAAAGTCAGCCATTTTGATTTTTTTTGTCATTTTCTGTGATTTTTCGTGTTGTATTTGAGCGAACTCCTCCTAGGGAATTTATCGGATCTACTTCAAAATTGGTCAGTACTGTCAAAAAATGGTGCTGATTAAAAGTTGTGCTATTTGAGACTGTACGTTGAACGGCGTGTCTGTGGCGTGAGGTCAAAGTTGGCCACTTTGAATTCTGCGGTCATACAAACTGATTGAAAAGTTGAGCTATTTGTGACTGTACGTCAAACCGCCTGCCAGTGACAACTTGTCGATTTCAGCAGATTCGCCATAAAATAATACTCATAACTTCAGTGTGCAGTGTCCAATCTCTAATAAACTTAATACATTCTGAAACAGTTTTGCCCTGAACACGTCCTCATAACTTCAGCGTACGTGGTCCAATCTCAATGAAACTTCACGTGTTTGATAACACTCTCCCCTTGAACATGTCTACATGACAATATTAAGATATAGTGATAGCGCCACCTACTGGAAACAGGAAGTAAACGCTGCGTGGCAATTTTGAGCTGATTTACTTGAAAGTTTTGTACCGCACGTGTAATGATGGCACGTGACGCGGCCGCAGCACGCCCCGAGTTGCGTGGAGTGTGAGGTCCCGCCCAACGCTGCTTGCAGCTTTAATTTGTTTATGTTTCTACATTTAGAAATCTTTTGAATCACTATGAAAAAAACAAAACAAAAAAAAATTTTAGTATTTTTTTATTTATGACTCAATTTCAGTACTTTATCCAATTATGATGGTCTATTAACTTACATAACATTTTAGCTTAGGTTGCACAGATTTTAGGATATTAATCATTACTTTCAAGATACTAAAGGAATGACATGTCAATAATCAAAAATAGCAATGTGGACCGTTTCTGTTGCAGAGTTCAAAGTTACACGGACAGACAGACAGACAAGATAGGCCTTATACACTGTAATGAAAAAACAACAACAAAAAATGGGATAAATGATATGGGTACAGGGTAGTCTGTTGTATAGGATTCGTGTGTGTGTGTGTGTGTGTGTGTGTGTGTGTGTTGGGTGCTGAGGAGCAGCAAGGGGGAGTGATGTATAAGCTGAGAAATAGAAAAAAAGGAGGAAAAAAGGCAGACTGACAAGGTAGAGAGCAAAAAAGGAAGAGCTCTTTTCATTTCCCTTTTCAACTAATTCCTTGTCTTCTTGAGGCAATGGTTACCTTTCCTTAGCCGCCCCCAGCCATGGAAAGGAAGCTGGCTGTTGGAGGGCAAAACCCGTTTACCCTGAATGAACAGCTCCTAGACCCAGTGGGATGTGAGGAAATGAGCAGTGGGTTTTTTTTTCTTCTTTCTTCCCACCACCCAATCTTGTTTCTCTTTTATACCCTCTCCCTCCCTTTTATAAATAAAATGTATAATAGTGGAAAAAGAGGAGTAGAGGAAAGAAAGGAATGGAAATAGAATTGGAAACTCTTAAGTTAAACTGCCTGTAAGGCAAAAGAAGCCTATTAAGTATGTATGATGGTAAGACATTATATAAAATACATAATACAGAGAATTGTGTTAAAAGTTGCTAAAATGTATTAAATCAGAAAACTAATTTTTAAACAATATTGACAGGAAATAATTCAAAATTCATCCAAATTGTTTGTTTTACACTTCCTGCAGTTATTGTGCTCACAGTTTTGGTTCATTGTACAGTTTATCAGTTGTTCTCCACTGTTATTGTTATTATTGAATAACAAATATATCCACAAAATATGTCAGTGTACTCAATGATACAAAATAGCTTCCACTGATTTAAACAATCCAGGTTTCCAGGAAAAGAATCAGGGGCCAACATCATATATCGGAGTTGGACTAAATTAGAGAGCGTCTTATATTGGGAGTAAATTAAGAAAATTCATCCATCCGTCCAATCCCTGTTAGTCCAAACTACCTTAAGTATCAGCTCTCCTCTGAGGTCCTTGCTGTGTCCCTGACTCTGAGGCCAGGCACTCAAATGTGAATTAAACTGGACCATTTATAAATGCATGCTGTAGCTTACCTCCTACAGCTCATAATGAAAGGCGGGTGAAGCAAAGACTGACAGGTAAATGGAGATCTTCACCTTCACACACAGCCTGCTCAACCTTCTCTGGATTAAAAGGTTAAAAGAAAGCAAAGGCCCCATCAAGTGCATGAAAGCTACTTCCAAGCCAGAACAAGTGAGTGACCTATATCTGTCAGACATGATGAGTGGCCAGTCAACTCTCCAATTCTGTTTCATATAGAAGAAAAAAAACAACATTTGCAAGCTAACAGCCTGCTGTGCAACAGACCAGGAGGCTACTGTGGGCTTCACTTTTTAACAATCCCCAACGAAACAGAACAAACACAGACACAAACAACAAGTACTGTGTATCAAAGCCTGATGTATCTAATTCCTCTGTGCCATAGATCAGTGGGTCTCAAAGTTTTTTGCATTAATGTACCCCCTTTGAAATATTTTTTGCAGGGGTGTGTCCACTCCACACCGTCTTCCATATGAAACTAGATGACCTAATGCATCTATTGGTACTAACCACCATGCTAGCTTATTGGGAAGAGGGCTAAATAACACTCCAAAGTTAGGCTAAAGTTTGCCGATGTAAAAACTGGCACGGCCATTTTCAAGGTGGTCCCATCACCTCTGACCTCAAGATATGTGAATGAAAATAGGTGTGTAAGAAAATATTGTATTGCGATATTTTGTTTTGTGATATTGCATTGATTCTGAAACACTACATTACTACAACATTTAGATAGCAGTGTTGTTAATAGAACCTGAGGGATATGATGTTGGATGTTACTGCGATAACACATCCAACTGTTCTGGTTGCATAAAAAAGTTAACTTTTTTAACTCAGATTTTATGCATATGTTGGTGTGTTCTTTACACTATGACAGTTTTCCTGTCATTACAAAAAATAAAACCCATGTATTGCCTTACTAGCAATATCAAATCATAACCCCTGTATCGTGATATGTATTGTACTTTGTTGCAGTATTTCAGGGCAGATTCTTGTTGTTGGAATCTAGGAACAATACGAGGTACAATACAGCGCTGCACAGTCAGTGTCTGATTAATACAGAAAAACACTTAAATGCTTAATTTCAAATGTTTTGAATCCATCACTGAATTCATGTAAACAATTTTTTGTCATCATGCAATAACACAAAGATGGCATTGAAGCGGCATTGAACTGTCTTTTTGATTAATTGCACTTACACTGCATTAAGAAACATTCATTGATCGTTGTCAATCTTGGTGACAGGGAGGCAACTGCAGCTGACAGTTTACAGCACCTTGCAGCAGTTTAATTGCACTGAAAATAGTAATTTCAAACTTACATTTAAATTCTTTTTAAATTGATTATTTATTAGGGGTACACACAGCCCCATTTGAGAAACACTGTCATTGAACTCCATTGTTATCCAAAAACACATCAATGAGCCACTGTTGCACTGGGTATAGCACCCACACACACACACACACACACACACACACAGTTTATTTTGACTCTATCCAACATATGCCGTCCTGCTGCCAGAAATGCTCACTACAGCTCCAAATGTGGAGTAATCCGCCCCTGAAAATAGTTCCCAACAATTCCCTCCAGTTAAAAACAAAAACACATTGGCTGTTTTAGGAAATTACTGAGCCTTTTTAAAAAATATGTCTTCTGAAGGAAATAATGGGTTTGGGGTAATGCCACAGGCCTGATTATCCATTTCAGTTTGGACTTTACAGTGATAAGGGCCTACTCTGGGTTCCTGTGCAAGACAGGGCCTTAAAATTAGGTTAAGCTTCTTAACAATCTCACCACAAGGTATATTTATTAGTTGTTCTGGAGCTTTTGGTCTCCATCAACAGCGTGGTTTGCCAAATTTTTATGCAATTGTGATTTTGTTTCTGAGGACTTTTTGGCCATGTTGGCTTTAAAGCTGAAGTTCAAAGTTCAGTCTTTTATTCAACGTGTATTTATACAGCATAAGAAACAGGAACAGCATTGTGTTAAAATATATTTAATAAATACATATAAATTACATATCAAACAGTGAACTGAACTGATGTCTTTGATCACACAGCAGGCGATGTTCAGCATGAGTAAGGTGCACAGTGTCAGTTTGTTTGAGAATTTAGATTCCACCATGACGAGCTGTTGGCACGGTTGAAAAAACAATGTTACTTATGCAGTATAACAATGCTAATTATATAGTATAACAATGTTAATTATACGGTATAGCCCTGTGAGTTAATTAAAATAACCTGGGACATAGAAAACTACATGTGTATCCTCTATAAAGTCCTTAGACCAATAAAAACACACTGCAGCAAACTTTGGTTTTACAGTACAAACATTAACAATACAAACCATACAACTGACATTCTGAAACACATACATACATTTTGTTCAGGATTATTAAACTTTCATATGGCCTGTCATCCTGTTTGTAGCTCCCAAAATTCTCAATAAAACAAGTATAGCTGTCACATTTCCGTGTGAATTTGAGAACCTTTGTGTTCACAGAGGGAGCACCAAAAGGGTGGAAGTGGTGATATAAAGAAGCAGTGTCAGTCTGTCTGTAAGTGGGAAAAGCAGGCACTTTTAGTGGACGTCCTTTGACCGGCACATTTGTCCCCAAGCATTGGATAACGTTACACAGCAGCCATAGCAGACTTTTTTTAAATACTGCAATTATTAATAAAATACTAAAACATGTCAAACAATTGAATATTTCTGTCTTTAGGATTGTGTATGTAGGATTCAGTGGCATCTATCTTTACTGGATATGATTAATCTTTCTTTATTATCAGGATATGTACCACAGTCCTTTAAAGTAGCTGTAATTAAACCCCTTCTTAAAAAGCCCACTCTTGACCCAGGGGTTTTAGCCAACTATAGACCGATCTCTAACCTCCCCTTCCTCTCTAAGATTCTGGAGAAAGTAGTCGCCAAAGAGTTGTGTGACTTTCTACAAAACAATAGTTTATTTGTGGATCTACAGTCAGGAGTCCATCATAGCACAGAGACAGCTCTGGTTAAAGTTAATAATGACCTTCTGATTGCTTCTGACAATGGACTTGTCTTTGTACTTGTATTATTAGATCTTAGTGGTGCATTTGACACCATTGACCATGATATTCTTTTACAGAGACTTGAGGATCAAATTGGCATTAAAGGAACCGCACTAAGCTGGTTTAAGTCATATTTATCAGATCATTCGCAGTTTGTACATGTTAACGATGAATCTTCAATAAATACTACAGTTGGTCATGGAGTTCCACAAGGTTCTGTACTTGGACCAATACTATTTACTTTATATATGCTCCCTTTAGGCAACATTATTAGGAATCACTCCATTAACTTTCACTGTTATGTAGATGATACGCAGTTATATCTATCGATCAAGCCTGATGAAATTAATCAATTATCTAAATTACAAACATGTCTTAAGGACATAAAATCCTGACAATTTTCTGATGTTAAACTCAGAAAAAAACGAAATTCTTGTTCTTGGCCCCAAAAACCTTAGAGACTCACTGTCTAAAGATATAGTTACTCTAGATGGCATTACCTTGGCCTCTAGCACCACTGTCAGGAATCTTGGAGTTATCTTTGATCAGGATTTGTCATTTAATTCCCACATAAAGCAGACCTCTAGGACTGCCTTCTTTCATTTACGTAATATTACAAAAATTAGACACATCCTATCACAGACAGATGCAGAAAAACTAATCCATGCATTTGTTACTTCAAGGCTAGATTACTGCAACTCTTTATTATCAGGTTGCCCCAATAAGTCCATTAAAACGCTCCAATTAATTCAGAACGCTGCAGCACGAGTACTGACAGGAACTAGAAAAAGAGATCACATCTCTCCTGTACTAGCTTCTCTGCATTGGCTCCCTGTAAAATGTAGAATAAAATTTAAAATCCTCCTCCTCATCTATAAAGCTCTTCATGGTCAGGCCCCTTCATATCTTAAAGAGCTCATAGTACCCTATTACCACTCTAGAACACTACGTTCTCTGAATGCAGGGCTACTTGTGATTCCTATAGTCTCTAAAAGTAGAACAGGAGCCAGAGCCTTCAGTTACCAAGCTCCTCTCCTGTGGAACCAGCTTCCAGTTGTGATTCAGGAGGCAGACACCCTCACCACATTCAAAAGTAGGCTTAAGACAGTCCTCTTTGATAAAGCTTATAGTTAGGGCTGGATCAGGTGAGTCCTGAACCATCCCTTAGTTATGCTGCTATAGGCCTAGACTATCGGGGGATTTCCCATGATGCACTGAGCTCCTGTCTGCCTCTCGCTCTCTTTCTGCACACATTCATGTCCCATTAATGCATGTTACTAACTCCACTTCTTCCCCGGAGTTCTTGTGCTTTCTCGTCTCGCAGGTTCTCATGGATCTGGGTGGAGCCTCCTACCATGGTCCCGCTTGACTACAATTGCCAATATCACTGATATTAGTGTTATTAATATTTTTGCTGTTATTATAGCTATGGTTACTGTTGTTGCTGTTGTCACTGCTCATTGTCCCTCATCGTTGCTGTTGTCATGTTCATCATCATCAGTTGCTACTATTAGTGTAGTTGTTGCTACTGTTGTTGCTGTGTACCTGTCTGTCTGTCTGTCTATCTGTCTATCTCTCTCTCTCTCCCTCACCCCAACTGGTCGAGACAGACGACCACCCACCTAGAGCCGAAGGGTCTGTCCTAGGTTTCTGCCTTTTAACAGGCAGTTTTTCCTTGCCCTTGTCGCCAAGGTCTTGCTCATGGTGGTACTGTTGGGTCTCTGTAAATAATGTTATAAAGAGTTCGGTCTAGACCTGCTCTATTTGAAAAGTGTCCGGAGATAACTTCTGTTATGAATTGGCGCTATACAAATAAAATTGAATTGAATTGAATTTAATTGAATCTATCAGTGTAGCTGCAGATTGCAACTCTCTTTTTTCACCCTCCCTTCCAAATGTAAGGGAGAAACTAAATTGACCATAAAATACGCAGAAAACGGCCCTGTCTAGAGCCAGTGTTTGGTTTGTCCCTCCTGGGCTACTGTAGTAACATGGTGGCTCAACATGGCGGACTCCATGGAAGGGACCCACAGTGTCTGTAGATAAAAACGATTCATTCTAAGGTAACAAAAACAATGATTCCTATATTCACTAATGAAAACATACCTGTTAGTATTATATTCCATTTCTGACAATAGATCCTCCTAAATGTTACACACTGGACCTGATACCCAGAATATTCAGTATCCCTGATATCATTATCACCAATGTCCACAAATCCCCCAAAAATCAATGCTTCAGAACTTTTAAGAACTATTTTAGTCTTCCTCAGTATCCAAGTAATCCAGTACCAGTGGTCTAAACATCTATGGGTACACTGCAAACAGAGACTGCTAATAGCTAATTTTGCATATCTTTAATGGTGCCATTTGTGCCAATCATAAACAAACTTTAAAAAAACTGGGCTCAAAACAGAATACCAGTATCTACCTGTGGCTCACATTACAACAACACATTTTGTGAGCTCTTGCTCCCCTAATGGCTTTAATGTTGTCACACTGGTTCCAAACCATTTTTGATTTCCTCCTTTTTCACACAAAAGTCAAAATTCAAACTGAGCTGAAAATCAATAAAATAGAAGGACAAGCAGCTTTAACAAACAATGGCGCTGCTCTGGACAGGATTTAAATTGTAAGAGGACCAGCAAGTTTGCAGAAAAACAATAGGAAATTGCAGCTCTAATTATTACTGGGGTGGTGGATTACCCACATACGCAATCCAGATTAAAATCACTAAGGAGCACAGGTTATGTTAAAATCAGACCACCTGTCCTAGCGACATCCAGTCCAAATGGGGCTTGAGTCAATTTACGTTAATTTGTATAATTCAAGGATTTAACCTGCCCATAATGCCTCTATGAAGGATTTAAACAGTGTTGGGAAGGTACTACCATACAGGAGCCCTACAGATGAAAGAAACACAAATAGACAGTATATAAAGATGGACGACGTGTCTCCACTTCTTCCCACTGTACAAAATTGAAGCCAAAGCATGGATTGGATAATTTTTTGGATCAGTAAAAAAATCCGAATAGATAGATTCTTTATGGTCCTTCAAGGAGCTTTGTTGCCACAGTCTGTACATAGCCTTGCATAAAGACATAGATACATATATACATAAAATATAAATAATATCTATATTACATAATATATAAAATACATACATAGTATACTATAATTTCATATAAGAGATTATTATACATGATACAGTATAATAACACTACACATTTTTAAATCAATCACTCCTCTAATCATTGAGCTTCAGAGTAAAACGCAGTCTGCATCTATCTTGGCGATCTTTACACTGCTCCACATTGAGATTTTGAGAATTATTACTAGCGGCAGTAGAATGTAGGGTTAAATTTCATCCGTGGTTCACATGCGTGCCCAACCATGCAGGGCTGTATGGATCACAGATCAACTACGACCCGTTGTACTACTAATAAGTAATTAAAACAACCTTATAAACACTTGAACATACATCACTGTGAAAAACAATATTTAAAATGACAGAAACTGTCTTTGGGAAATATTTATTTGATGAGTCCTTTTGTTTTTTGGTTTTTTTACCCATGCCCATCTGCTAACATGAAGGGGGCGGGCTTTATCGCCTATGCTGCAACCAGCCACCAGAGGGCAATAGCTATGTTCTGGCTTCACTTTTGGCAAGCTGTCATGTTGTCCATCTTTATATACACTCTATGCTAACACAGTATATGCTGCAGTGCATGTAGCACTGCTCTCCACAGACCATCTCTCAGATCACTCAGGAGTGATTTGGTGTCTAAAGGTGACCCACGCAGCCTCATGGTAGTACAGGCAGGCACAGGAGTCATTTTATAGTCACATGTTCCCTACATGGATGGAATCATGTGGTCCATGACCTCTCTCTCTCAACAGACATCTATTTAACCATTTGCTGTTCCTTCAGTCTGCATTCAACTATGCTGAGCTCTGCATCCTCACTGCATCACATGAGCACAGTCACACCGCCAAACAAAAATATATACAGTATTGTTGCAATAAATGGTTAAAACCTAGTGTTCTGCCTGAAATACAGAAACTGCTGTCTGTCACAAAATATCAAATAAAGCAACACAGTAGCCGTGTTTCCAGCAATGAATTATGATGCACATTTTTAAGTATCAGCATTATAGTAGTTTGATGGAAACAGTAAACTTTGAAAGAGATTGTTTTTGTCTTTCTCAATAATTTGGATTAATTCTAATGGGAGATTAAAACACGATGCACACAGATTTGATGGAACCTTACTCACATTAATTCATAAACTATAAAACAATATTTCTTTTTTACTGTCCACTGACACCCTTTTAATTACATCATCTTGCTGCGCCCTCTTTTTCTGGTTTTCCGACTGGAGAATTGACGCCACCTACTGCTTATCTCAATGAACCGACTCCTAATAATCGCTTAACAGTAGTGGATGGAAACAAGCATTCATTTGCATTTTCTTGTTATTTATTCGAAATTTGGTTATATTTAGATGCAAACATGCCAACTGATTTTTGATAACACATCACTACAGGACTGCCCATGTTTCTTACACTGACGAGTGCATTTTTTCTGTGGCATGTTCAGTGAAGCACAAACAGTTTCTCAAATCACATACATCTCTTAATGTTAAGGTAATGCAATACGTTATTTTAACTCAAAAACACACAACACAAAGTCAATTGTTTAATTTTAAGTAACAATAACTTAGTTTTGTAGGTTACAGCAACATTATTGATTAACTGCTTCTTACTAGGTATTTTGTTTTCACAGTACAAATAAAAATTAAGTCATTGTCACTTAAAATTACTAAAGCTACTTAATCAAGAATGTTCCTTTAACTTACAAAACTGAGTTTGTTTTACTTAAAACTTTTCAGTTTCAACAATTTTTTATTTGTTAAATGGACTTATCTGGATTTATTGTGTGTTGTGTGCTTATTAAGGGTATCTGTAATGATTGATCAAGACCCCCCAGTTTTGCGATGAGCTTTCTGTTTTCATTCTAAGCAGATTGCCCCCGCCTGCTACTGAGAATAAAATCAATGAATTTTCTATTCTTCTTTTGGAGCCTACTTGAAAAAAACCTGTTGTCTAGTACATTTATTCAGCCTGGTGATAGACTGTTTGTCCTCTTTGCTGCTAACAGACAACTGCTTCTGAGGACAGAGACGGCAGGGCACTGAGGACGGAGCTGATGTGGATTGAACAGACTGAACAATACCACGTAAGATAAAAAAACGTAATGTGTTCTTTTTGAATGACGAAAGCGTCTGCTGGATTCAGGGTGCCACATTTGGCTGCCTGATGTGATACCATCAGTCCTCAGTGAGGGTTGCTGAGCGTGCCATTGGTCATAGAGAGTTTGCTCCACCTCCTCTGACTGAGGAGTTTTCGGTTTTGTTGAACTTTTACTCGAACGTCAAAAACCTCCTGGATGGCATTCTTGAAACAGTGGAAGTTGTAGTCAATCAGTCCTGTAAGGGACAGACAGGAAACATAGTTAAGCACACAGAGACCTATTACAGGAACTATCCCTGGTATAGTGCTTGCTATAGTGCAGTAACAGGACATTTTTTTGACAATACCATATAACATTATAAAACAACAATAATAAAACCAACAGGAAAAAATATATATGTAGCAAAAATAAACATTTAAGAGCTGAAAAGGTGGAATTACCACTAACGCCATAATAAAAAAACATGTTTAAAAAATACCCACTGAGTTAGCTTCTAAGATCGAGATGGAGGGTATTCCACAGTTTAGGCAATAAAAAACTGAAAGCAGCCGTAGCAGATTTTTAGTTTGAACTTCTAAAAAAACGGCAGAGGAAGATCTGAGAGCTGTTAATAAATAATAAAAGGCAGACACTGATAAAAGAAGGTGCAAAACAAAGAATTGTTCCACCCTAACTTGAAAACCTGGAACCTGGAAGAAGCAAATGGTTGCACTATGGGTAATACAGTAGCCCTTTTCTGTACACATGTGCTGGCTTGGCTTGACTAGGTTTGATTCACTGCATAAGCACAGATTTGCATCTCTGCTGGAAAGTGTGTCTTTACAGGCAGAGAGAGCAGCGATGGTCGAGGGAGCTCAAGACTGAATGAAGAGAGGGAGCGACGTTAGCGAGAGCAAAGCAGTGAATAAATAAAATGTTATTTTCTGATTGTTTCATGGTGGTTACATTCTAAAGCTCAAATAAATGTGGACACCTTCCTCCCTGAGATATGCAGGCCGCTAACTATCTATTATTTATTATTCCTATTTAACACATTTAATTTCCTATATTATTATTCTTCACAATAAAAAGTCTCTTGTGTATATTATTTAAAAGGTAATTTAAAAAACATGACTCCTATAAAGCTGAAAGCAAACATTAGGGCAGTGAAATGAAGCAGATTTCTGAAAGAACAAACAGGGAGAACCCTAACAAACCACAGAGATTCAGTTATAAGCTACAAAAGTACTGACAGCTGAACACTCGACTGTCTCTTGTACAGACATGAGTTGAGTCTCTGAACACACACATGATTTGAGGGGGGGTCCTCACGAGTCACCACAACTGGCTTGCAGGCGGGTCGGCCACGCTTTGGCCTTACTCTGGAGATGGTCCGTCTCTTGGTGTGTTTAAACAGGTAATGAAAATGGAAATCTGTGGTGTGGCCTAAAGTGTCAATGGACTGTAAAAATCTTACTTTTGCAATGAAAAGGTAAGAAATGTGTGCATTTGTGTGGCAGGAATTAGATTACTTTGGCCCATTTCCAACAATTTGGCTCTGGTTCTTAAACCGGTTCTGTTCAAGATTCTTGAAACCTTGGTGTTATCTAGTTTTGAGTGAAACTATAGTAACTGGATGCATCATCAATACAATGCACAATGACCTGCAGAATATGACACGCCTACTTTGGTTCCCAAGGAAAACCTGCTATTTTTTGGTTCCAGCTGGGAACCAATTTATTTTTGATCAAAATGTTTTGAACAGTTCAAATCTAGATGTGTGAACCAGAACAGAGTGGGTTCCCTGTTGGTGGAAGAGATCTATTTGAGAAAAAAAAAAAAAAGTTCAAGGCATAAACACTGTGTGACACAAACATTAAACCAAGATTGCAAGCGGCATACGGTGTGTGCCACCCTGACTGCAGACATTGCTCTCCTTAGATATGAGGCTCAGCACAGAACTGCCATTGTCAGTCACTGAGCATTACTATCTGCTCATTACCAAGCAACAGAAGGCAGACAAAGTCAGACTGTTCAACTACAGAGAAAACAGGGAGTAAAGCTAAACTGCATGTAGGAGCACAGGAACAGCTGCCACACAGACCAATCCATGTGTAAACACCTGCAGTGAATATGATGTAGGGACACATGGAGGACATATACACAGAAACAAATTTCTCCATCAGCATTTCAGGAGATGGAGATATTTAATAATTTTAAGGACTGTCATTGGCTGTTTGTATTATCATCATTTTGGAGCAATACAGCAGCATTCATGCATTATACACAGAGGGATTAAGATGCTTCAGATAATCTCGTTATACATTTAGATTTACATTTATTTGACTCATTCCCGGTAAACACTGCAGAAGTTTGAAATGATTGAAATGTTGCCTCTTGTTCACAGGCAACATTTCAAAAACTCAACTCATTTGGCTGAAATGAAAATCGCTTCTGTTTTTGAGAACCAATACGATATTACAAACCAGATTATCGCAATGTGATATTTTTTGATACTTTCTTACTTTGCATGATGCAAGAGGAACACACATTTAAGAGTGTGTTTGGATGCATTTCCCTAAGTATTAACTAGGGGGTGTAAAAGGGTCTGAGATTAACACCCACCAAGCCCCGAATGCGGGTAGATTTTCCGAGGTACATTTTCGAAGGCTATCGGCCACACTGGTGTGTGTGTACAGCTGTATACATTTTTGTGCGAGTACATTGCATACAAAGTCAATGCAAAGACGCAAACAGACATGAATTCCCGGCAGGCAGCGCAAATGACGAGAATGGCAAAATTGCAAATTCTGCATGTCCGCGCCATTCTTGACATTATTGTCATTCAAGTTGAACTTTGAGCAAAAAAATTTTGCCTATTTCTTTTCTTTTTGCAGTGTTGTATGCTGCCCGCCGACAGAAAACCACTTGAGCCCAGGGAGCTCTGCAAAGAGAGCCGGGGGCAGAGCCGGTGCTTCTGGAGGAATAAACACCGTAGTCACACTGGATTCCGCTCTGATCTGGAGAAGTTTACTGGCAAGAGGAGAGCTCAGAGTTTATTTTTAAACTTTGGGGATTAAAAAGTGGATTTTTCTTCACTCTCTCTTCTTAACCTGTCTGCTGCGAACCCCCCCATCTATGATATGATACTGCTTCTTCAGGGCCTTATCCTGCATTCCGGCTCCTCTCTCTGCATGTTGAAGTGAGCAACATACTGAACCACAAACTGCCCCTGATACTGCAATTGGTGTTTAAATGTGTGTTTCTGATGAGCAGTTGACACTTGCATGACAACAGTGTATGAATGTGTGTGGATAGGGGTCTGTGGCATTTAGTGTACAGCGCTTTGAGTGGTTGAAAGACTAGAAAGATGCTATATAAGGACAGCCCATTTACCATTACTTCATATTTATATGGAGCCCGGACAGAAGAGGATATTGCACAGAGAAATGCAGAGTACCTGGTAAGAGCTATGTGTCTATCGGGTTTACTTTAGTATAAACTAAGTTAGCATAGCCCCGATTGATCCGATCATGTTCATAAAACAAGCATTTGGAAAGTTGCCTGTCGTCTTGTGCACAGACCCACAAAGAATGAACTCAGACATTTTACTACTCACCATCATGATGTAGTTATTCCAACACTTGTTTGATCAACTTATTGACATTAAATCACAGCGAAATCTGTTTATTTTAGGCTCATACCACCATTGTAAACCAGATTAAAGGGCGACTATAAACACACCATTAGAGGTCCATTCCTTTTTTGTGTTATTTGTTCAGGTTAAGCGGCCACAAAAGCTGCCCACTCAATTCAATACAATGTTTATAGAATGTTCTCTATAGACTTCAGAATGAATACAAGCTTTTCTCATATTATTAATTACTTTATCTTACATTTTAAATATAATACTTCAAGAAAGTTCCTCAGGTCTCTTATGACTGCAGGTAAGCAGACACCTTCAGAGAGAACAGGAGGAATATTCTGGACTGTACAGGATGGTTCTTGTCATGCTGAACATCCCATTATCTAAAGCAATACGCAGAACTCAGAAAAGGCTAGTTTTTTAGTTCACCAGCTGCAGCTGCTGCTTTCCTGTATGCTGTTATCCCCTGGCACAAGTTCAATACAACCACCTTTTTCACATTACTCATGGGCAAACAACCAGAATTAAAGTTGGTATTGATTTTGTTTGCAATCTATTTCCATGCATTTTATTGTGAGCACTTGATAATTAGGTATTAAATTGCCTTTTTATAATATTCTGTCTGCTCTATCAGCATGATACACTGCACCTTGATCCAGTTTGGTTTTCATTTTGTTTCCAATTTTTCTACATTTATCTCAAAATTTCGTCCGTTGATGCGGTTGGTTACTTGCTAGTGGAAATTAGATTTTTTTTAAAACTACCTTACAGGTTTTTTCAGAAAATATAATGGTTCTTTTGAAGAAATGAGCAGGTGAGCTATTAATTAATATAAAGTAAATGTTCAGGTTTTCAGATGTTAATATAAGCACTATAAATAAATAAAAAACACTTAGCTGCTAGCAAAGAACATTTTTACCAAGCTGTCTCTTTGGAGCATCTTGTATTTTTTTAAGAACTTTGACAAACACGAACGACCTGATTCACTTAATGTAAGATATTGTTCTTTTCTGTTGCCAAGGACACATGGTTACAATACACTTAGAGAAGCAAAGAGTACTGAGAGAACAAGCTGTGGTGGGTTGTGTCTAGATATTCCTGTTTAAGTAAAAGTCAGTACAAAGGACATGGCACAGATCTGTGCTGCAGCAAACTGCTCTGCCTCCTTTATCAGTACACAAACTGGCATTGTTGGCCATTCAATAGCAGAGGTCACCCACTGTGATTGTAGTGTCCGTGAAAAAGCTGTTCAAGAAGAAGCCTCTTTTCTTTGCCCTGATTCTGAGGCACTGCTGTTGATGCTTTACATATGTGGTACACTGAATATCCAAGTTTGGACAGTTATTCATGAATAAGAAAAGGTCACAAATAGTCTTTATAATTGATGTTCATCTCCATCACTGATGTGTGGAATCCAACTGCTGCTGTCACTGCTTCACACTTCATAACCACTTCTGATTGCACACTGTATGTATGGGTGTATACATGGATATTTATCCATTACACCAACAATGTCACGTGCTTATGTCTGTGGGATATTAGCGTGGTGCTGCTAACTATAACACTTTATGGTCAGGAAATATGTCAGATAGTTGGCTGTATATCCTGTG